TATGGACATTAGATGTCATTGATAACGGGATCACATCATTAGGAGAATGATGTGATGGACAAGACCCAATCCTGAGCATAGCACAAGATCGTGTAGTTCGTTTGCTAGAGCTTTTCCGAATGTCAAGTATCATTTCCTTAGACCATGAGATTGTGCAACTCCCAAATACCGTAGGAGTGCTTTGGGTGTGCTAAATGTCACAACGTAACTGGGTGACTATAAAGGTGCACTACGGGTATCTCCGAAAGTGTCTGTTGGGTTGGCACGAATCGAGACTGGGATTTGTCACTCCATATGACGGAGAGGTATCTCTGGGCCCACTCGGTAATGCATCATCATAATGAGCTCAATGTGACCAAGTGGTTTATCACGGGATCATGCATTACGGTATGAGTAAAGTGACTTGCCGGTAACGAGATTGAACGAGGTATTGGGATACCAACGATCGAGTCTCGGGCGAGTAACATACCGATTGACAAAGGGAATTGTATACGGGATTGATTGAATCCTCGACATCGTGGTTCATCCGATGAGATCATCAAGGAGCATGTGGGAGCCAACATGGGTATCCAGATCCTGCTGTTGGTTATTGACCGGAGATTCGTCTCGGCCATGTCTGCGTGTCTCCCGAACCCGTAGGGTCTACACACTTAAGGTTCGGTGACGCTAGGGTTGTTGAGATATTAGTATGCGGTAACCCAAAAGTTGTTAGGAGTCCCGAATGAGATCCCGGACGTCACGAGGAGTTCCGGAATGGTCCGGGGGTGAAGAACTGTATATAGGAAGTCCAGTTTCGGCCACCGGGAAAGTTTCAGGGGTCACCGGTATTGTACCAGGACCACCGAAAGGGTCCCGGGGGTCCACCGGGTGGGGCCACCTATCCCGGAGGGCCCCATGGGCTGAAGTGGGAGGGGAACCAGCCCCTAATGGGCTGGTGCGCCCCCCTTGGGCCTCCCCCTGCGCCTAGGGTTGGAAACCCTAGGGGTGGGGGCGCCCCACTTGGCTTGGGGGGCAAGCCACCCCCTTGGTCGCCGCCCCCCATCTAGATGGGATCTAGAGGGGCCGGCGCCCCCCTGGACCCCTATATAAAGAGGGGGGAGGGAGGGCTGCACACCCTAGCCCCGCGCGCCTCCCTCTCCCTCCCGTGACACCTCTCCCTCTCGTTGAGCTTGGCGAAGCCCTGCCGAGATCACCGATGCTTCCACCACTACGCCGTCGTGCTGCTGGATCTCCATCAACCTCTCCTTCCCCCTTGCTGGATCAAGAAGGAGGAGACGTCTTCCCCAACCATACGTGTGTTGAACGCAGAGGTGTCGTCTGTTCGACGCTCGGTCATCAGTGATTTGGATCACGACAAGTATGACTCCATCAACCCCGTTCTCTTGAACGCTTCCGCTTGCGATCTACAAGGGTATGTAGATGCACTCCTATTCCCCTCGTTGCTAGATGACTCCATAGATTGATCTTTGGTGATGCGTAGAATTTTTTTAAATTTCTGCTACGTTCCCTAACATTCCCCACCTTAGCCACCAAGGGGAAATAGGGAGACCCAAATATTTGAAGGGAAAGGCTCCCAAGGAGCAATTGAGCAACTTGGAACCCCGCAACACTTCAGCCTCGTCAACACTAGTGACAATAACCTCACTCTTAGAAAAAGTTAATTTTGAGCCCCGACAAGGCTTCAAAATAGAGAAGAATAAATTTGAGATTGGCAATACATGAGTCATTCAACTCCACGAGAACGGGCGTATCGTCCGCATACTGGAGATGGGTGAGACCCTCACGGGAGAAGGTGAGATATCACGGGAGAGATGTGGCCGGCCGAAGCTGCCCTATCCAGCATGCAAGATAAAGCATTGGCAACAAAATTGAACAGAATAGGATAAGCCGGATCCCCTTGCCGAAGGCCACAACCATTGGCAAAGTAATTGCTTATGGATCCATTCACAACTACCGCTGTATGACCACCAGACACCAACTGTATTAGTCGGTGAACAACCCCTGGGTCAAAACCCTTAGCAAGCAGAACGTGGCGTAGGAAATCCCAGCTAACCGAATCGTAGGCTTTCTCGAAGTCGAGTTTAAGGATCAAGGCCTTGGAGCCCCTCTTCCTAAGATCATGCACAATCTCATGTAAGCAGAGAATACCATATGGAATAAATCTACCCTTAATAAAGGCAGACTGGGACGAGCTAATAGTGCGAGGGTTAACCTAGTCGCCATGCCTTTTGCAGGAAACTTCGCGAAGTTATTTATCAGCGCGATGGGACGGAACTGAGAAATGGAGTCGACGCCCTTGAACTTGGGAATGAGAGTGAGAACGGCATAATTCAGACGGGAAATGTCGACAGTGCCAAGACAGAATCCTTGTATGATCCTACACACCACGTGCGGAGAGAGGGTCAGAAGCGCTTAAAGAATGGGATCGAGAAGCCATCCGGGTCCGAGGCCGAGTTGATATTAGAAGAATTGATGGCCATCTCGATTTCCTCAACAGAGGGAGGAATTGCTACCTCTTGAGCACTGCGTTGGTTTTCCCTTGAAGAGGAAAGGGTGATGCAGTAAAGCAGCATAAGTATTTCCCTCGGTTTTTGAGAACCAAGGTATCAATCCAGTAGGAGACCACGCGCGAGTCACCTCGTACCTACACAAACAAATAAGAACCTCGCAACCAACGCAATAAAGGGGTTGTCAATCCCTTCATGGCCACTTGCAAGAGTGAGATATGGTAGAGATGATAATAATAAGATAAATATTTTTGGTATTTTTATGATATAGATTGAAAGTAAATATTACAAAATAAAATAGATTAGAAACATGTATGATGGAAAATAGACCCGGGGGGCATAGGTTTCACTAGTGGCTTCTCTCGAGATAGCATAAGTATTACGATGGGTGAACAAATTACTATCGAGCAATTGATAGAAAAACGAATAATTATGAGAATATCTAGGCATGATCATGTATATAGGCATCACGTCCGAGACAAGTAGACCGAAATGATTCTGCATCTACTACTATTACTCCACACATCGCCCGCTATCCAGCATGCATCTAGAGTATTAAGTTCATAAGAATAGAGTAACGCCTTAAGCAAGATGACATGATGTAGAAGGATAAACTCATGCAATATGATATAAACCCCATCTTTTTATCCTCGATGACAACAATACAATACGTGTTGTTTCCTTTTCTGTCACTGGGATCGAGCACCGCAAGATTGAACCCAAAGCTAAACACTTATCCCATTGCAAGAAAGATCAATCTAGTAGGCCAAACTAAACTGATAATTCGAAGAGACTTGCAAAGATAAACCAATCATGCATAAAAGAATTCAGAGAAGATTCAAATATTGTTCATAGATAGACTTGATCATAAACCTATAATTTATCGGATCTCGACAAACACACCGCGAAAGGAGTTACATCGAATAGATCTCCAAGAGAATCGAGGAGAACTTTGTATTGAGATCCAAAGAGAGAGAAGAAGCCATTTAGCTACTAGCTATGGACCCGTAGGTCTGAGGTAAACTACTCACACATCATCGGAGAGGCCATGGAGTTGATGTAGAGGCCCTCCGTGATCAATGCCCCCTCCGGCGGAGCTCCGGAAAAGGCCAAGATGGGATCTCTTGGGTACAAAAGGTTGCGACGGTGGAAATAGGGGTTCGTGGTGCTCTTGGATGTTTGCGGGGTATATGGATATATATAGGAGGAAGAAGTAGGTCGGTTGAGCAACGAGGGGCCCACGAGGGTGGAGGGCGCACCAGAGGGGTGGGTGCGTCCCCTGCCTCATGGCCGCCTCATTGATTGCTTGACGTCCATTTTAAGTCTCCTGGATCATGTTTGTTCCAAAAATCACGTTCCCGAAGGTTTCATTCTGTTTGGACTTCGTTTGATATTCCTTTTCTACGAAACACTGAAATAGGCAAAAAGAAACAGCAATTTTGGCTGGGCCTTCGGTTAATAGGTTAGTCCTAAAAGTAATATAAAAGTGTAAAATAAAGGCCATTAACATCCAAAACAAATAATATAATAGTATGAAACAATAAAAAATTATAGATACGTTGGAGACGTATCAGGAATCATTAGGGCCGCATTCTCGTCGACCAAAACCCGTTTGTCCTGAGTCCAGAGGTTAGGGGAGATGATGAGGCCCGAGGTCGGCCTGGCAGCGAGGAGCGAGGAAAAGAAGTTGAAAATGTGATCCATGATCAAATGGGGGTCCACTACCCTAGTACCATCAATGACAAGGCTATCAATGAAGCATGTATGCCGACGGTCATTAGCAATAGCAAAAGAAAATAGGCCGTAGGAGAGTCGCTCTTAAGGACCCAGTTGATAGAACCTCACTGCCTTCAATAGAATGTAAGGCTTAATATTTCATTTTTTTTCATATACGACAATCAATCACTTTAATTTACTTATCTTCTAAATTAATTGCACTTTAATTACTTATCAAATTTCTTATTAAAATATAAGTTAAATCACAGACCGGATTTGGTAAACATTTATTTCATAAAAATCACATTAATATAAGCAGGTAAATCATAAACTGACATGCTAGAATATTTACACCCCCACTATAAGGCACGTGCATTGTCCTATCCTACAAAATTGCTTCGATCTAGAAGCCTCTTTTTCAAGTACTAGTCAATGTGTATGTGCAATGCACGTTAATTTGGAAGTATATTAAGTGTATGCAGATATTAAGTAAAATATTATTTGCGTGTTATTATGTGATTATTACTATATTGGACATGAAATTAATTGCACAATAAACGTGTTAAGCGCTTGATATTGAAACAGTCTAGGTCGTTGGATTGACATGATTTAATGACCGAGATAAATTGAATCTGCCTCTTTGAATCTTTTTATATTGGTATAAATATAGACATAGATAGAACGATATTTTCTCTAAAGAAAAAACACACACGGATGGATAAACTCTAGTGCTTCGTACTACCGTTTCCCCAGAGAAAACAATTGGGCGGAATTGGGATGCGGAAGGAGGAGGCAGCCATGTCGGCAGCAACGGGGAAGCCGATCCTGTACAGCAAATGGTTCAGCTCCTGCTCGCACCGGGTTCGGATCGCCCTTAACCTCAAAGGTACGCGTACCAGCTAGCCTCGCTTCTTGATTCTGCCGCATAGGTCGCGGGATCACAAATTGTGAGGATTTTTCTTTTGAAAAGTCTATTGTGAGGATTATGGGTGCTTGATTGCCAAAGCTCTAGCTCAGCTTTATCAGTTAGATCCGGGATGAAGAGCTTTTCCTCACCAGTGATGTGATTCAGAGAAAATAGCTCCCAAATTTCACCAAAGTTCATAAGAGCTGTTTAGATCTTATTAGTACTGGTACTATTTGCTACTGTATGTACTAATTATACCATTTCCCCCAATCATAAAGGTGTGGATTTCGAGTACAGAGCGACCAACCCGATGACAGATCCAGGTATACAGCTGAATCTCTGCTCTTTTTTTTTCTTTACAATGAAATCGTCACTTGCTCGGAGGGTACCATTTCTGATGGCAAATTAAGCAGTTCTCCGGTGTCAATGGTGTAAAGGAAAGCTGCTTATCAGTAGCATAAATGAAAGTTTGATACCTATTTTCCTGGATCTGAGCACACAACTATTTGATCCTTTTGCTACTATGATTTTGTAGAAGCTGCGTTATGTTACGTATGCGGTATGCTTCATGTTCTTTTTAGTAGTTCATGATGTTATTTCATTGTTCTTGCTGCTTCCCTTTGTAGATTATGAGAAAATCAATCCTGTTAAGTTTGTCCCAGCATTAGTGGATGGGGATTTTGTTGTTTCCGACTCGTTCGCAATCATTTTGGTAAGCTGCAACTCTTCACTGCATTTTTGAGCTTACAAAATTAACTCTTACAACGCTTGTGCAGTGATATATTAGCAATTAACGGGCTTGTTTTGTATTGAGCAGTATATGGAAGACAAGTACCCTCAGTGTCCTCTCTTACCCCGAGATCTGAAAAAGAAAGCTCTTAATTTGCAGGTACTATTGTGTCTGCTTAAAATTATATAAGCACAACACAATTCGAAGCACTGAAATAAGTTTTAGATGTTTATTGGATGAAACTTGTTGTAAGTTAACGGTTTTACAACAGATGGAGACACTAACTAATTTGTAGCTGAAACCTATCTTACTTATGTAGGTGCTGTTGTTGATTACACATTTTAGTATGCGTACTTCATAAAACAAGTTCGTCCCTTGTTGCAGATTGCAAGCATAGTGTGTTCAAGCATCCAGCCTCTTCAGAGCCATGCTGTCATTGTGCGTACAGATAGAATCTTTAAGTTTTTTCAGACTAGAATTAAACTTCCCTTTCAATTATAGTGTGACAATATCCATATACGCTTGGTTCTATATGATTGTTTGTAGGGTTCATATCTTGGCACAATGGACACCAATGAGAGCCTTCAGATGGTTCAATATTATATTGACAAAGGCTTCAGAGGTGCGATTTCTACCACTCAGTTTACCAAATAGCTTAGAACACTTGCAATTTTCCCCTTGCTTCAGTCTCGCGTTCATAATCATATACAGCATCCGTGTTGGTCTGAACTATCCTCGATAATTTTGTTTCAGCGATTGAGAAACTTCTGGAAGGATGTGACAGCAAATATGCCACTGGAGATGAAGTTCAAATGGTGTGCGCTGCAAAGCTCAAACCCAGGCTTTGTTCTTTGATAGTACATAATATGCTGGTCACAGTGAAGAGTGTGCTGAAGTGCTCTACTTACATTCCTGCTAACTCTGTTAGTGTATCATCAGCTAAGTAGGTTCTATATATATTGTGGCCATTTTCAGGCGGATGTGTTTTTAGCGCCCCAGATCCACGCTGGTGTGACACGCTTCCAAATCGATATGGTATGCAATGTTACCCTATTCTAAGCTCTCTGTTGCTTAGTATGTATGTGACGTGCAAATGTGAAAATGTCTTGCACTGATTATTCAGAAACCAGAGTTATAAGCTTGTATTGATATTTTCTCTGGCAGTCAAAGTACCCTATTTTGGCAAGGCTTCAAGACGCTTACAATGAGCATCCTGCATTTCAAGCCGCACTTCCTGCGAACCAACCAGATGCTCCTCCATCCCAGTAAAGTAATCAGGACCTCGATGACTGTAAGATTTTTCATGTTTGATCGAGATTCTATGATGTAATTTCAAAGTTAGATGCTCATGTAAGCAAAGACCCCTGGATGAGCTTGACGACATTGCTGTAAAAGTGAATAAATGCAATTTATCGTATGTGCCAGTGTAAAATTCTAGTATCAATAAAGAGAAGAAAGGGAAGAAGACGAGTCAAACATTATTTCCCTGTTGTCAAGCCGAAAAAGACATCATCGATTAACATATCATTTTGGGATGGCCTTATCTTCTCATTTTGTTCTTTTCTCTACCCACCAACAATCAATCAATCATACACCTAGTCCAAGGTGACTTCATCTCCCTGACTCTGGGGGCATCTGGTGGGCCCTACATAATCAGTCTGATACTCAGGCTTGGGTAGCATCTTCTGCTCTTGTCCCCTTGTGCTCTGCTCACACCAGTTTTCTGCACGGTGCTCTCTCTGTTCACATGAGGAGAGGAGAAGAACAATCCCTTCTCCGGCTCCTCATACCAATAAATATAGTCACATACTGCTGCATCGTCTACATCTAGTAGTGGAGGAAGAGGAGAAAGGGGTAGCAGGCAGCAATGGCGACGGCCAAGCCCATCCTGTACGGCGCCTGGATCAGCTCTTGCTCTCACCGTGTCCGGATCGCTCTCAATCTCAAAGGTGAGTACTTCTTGAGGTTTGGAGCTTCATCTGTTCCTTTTTTCTTGATTATGTTAGCCCCGGATTAGTCCTAATTCAGCTTCTCCATCCCTATGGTCTTAGAGTTGATTATGTATATTCTAGATTCTGAACACTCTTCAGTTGGGAACATTTCAGATGCCACCAGTTGTGTATTTGTTTTGGGTCTGGAACATGTAAATGAATATCATAATTGTTGAGTAACGTGATTGTATTAGGAAACATAGGTTAGACTAGGAAATATTCTGGCTTGCCTTGTACTCCTATATATATGCCCACGAGGCTCAAGCAATACAGTGAACAATTCCACCAAATCCCTCTCTCCCTTCTAACAATAATTATGATGCACACTTAGGTGTGTGTTCGAGAAAAATGATTAATGCAGAGCAAACTAGATGTAGTAATTTCGGTGCACACTTAAGTGATAAAAGTTGTAGGCTCTTGTTCAGGAAACTAATTAATTCATTCTCTCTATGGTGCAGGTGTGGACTATGAGTACAAGGCAGTCAATCCTCGGACAGATCCAGGTACTCATATTTACCAGATAACATCCACATAGTAATTATAAAGCCATCTCATCCCGTTTTTTTTTTAAACATCTCATTTCCGGTTTGCAATTGATGAGAGCTCAAAATGCCAACTGGTCAGAGTTGCCTCGTGATGCATGCCTACTTATGCCTTATTACTAGGCTAGTAGCTGCCTAATCTGCAGGGAACTGCGCATAGACTATTCCTTCCCTGGACATTAGCTTAGTCTGCTATAACAACTTTGTGCACCATCTTTGATGATGAAAATCTTGGCTTGATCAATGATACAATTGCAATGCATGTTGTACCCATCTATTCCCGATGCTGAAATCTACGGAATGTTGAAAAACGCATAATTTGTATTCTGCTTTAGGAGAATTCACCGTTATGGATTTCTTATTGCAGACTATGAAAAAATAAACCCGATCAAATACATACCAGCATTGGTAGATGGGGACTTTGTTCTATCTGATTCTCTCGCTATCATGTTGGTGAGTCACAATTCTTGCTTCAGTGGATTAAGAATGTGTTTCTTCAGCATTCCTGTCCCTCTGTTACTAGTTAACAAGGGTCTTTCTAATGCACTGAGCAGTATCTGGAAGATAAGTATCCTCAGCATCCTCTCGTACCTAAAGATATCAAAACGAAAGGTCTTGATCTTCAGGTATATGTCCGGCTAAAGATCTTCTTTGGCTCTTTTTTCTACTCCCTCCGTTCGCTTTTGTAAGACGTTTTAGACATTTAAGACAACACCTAAAACAGTTCAATTTCAGCTGTCTAAAACGTCTTACAAAAGTGAACAGAGGGAGTAGAAAAATCTCTTCTATAGTTCTACTTCTGTGTCTTGTTAATCACATGAACCATAGTTGTTCAAAACTCTTTTTTCGAACCATAGTTGTTCAGCACACTTATCGGTAACTCCATATGGAGTAGCTAATTACATTTTTTGCTTGTTGCAGATTGCGAACATAGTTTGCTCAAGCATCCAACCTCTCCAAGGCTACGGCGTAATTGTGGGTTTTTACCGAGAGTTAGCTACCGCTGACAAGATTTCGTCTTAATTTTCAACGATTATTTCAGTACGAGTTTGACAGTGTTTGTGTGTGCACTATTTATATTTGTTTACTTTGCAGGGTTTGCATGAGGGTAGGTTGAGCCCCGATGAGAGCCTTGAGGTGGTTCAACGTTATATTGACAAGGGCTTCAAAGGTGCGATATTTCGCAACATACTGTCTGCACAGTTATATACCTGCAGATTTGAGAAAAAAGGAATTTGGAATCTCTCTCTGTTTTCCTCTAGACTTCCTTTTCTCTTAGCCATTCTTCGATCATATGTGACAGAGAGATGTTCAGTTGTGCTGTTCTGAGTTCTGACCGCCGTCAACCATACTTATTATTTGTTCAGTTGACCAAAATAATCTTACTCTTGGTCTGCTCTTACTATTTGTTGCAGCAATAGAAAAGCTCTTGGATGGATGTGACAGCAAATATTGCGTCGGAGATGAAGTCCATTTGGTTTGTGTTTCTGAGCCTACACACTTCTTCACTGATACTACATGTTTGATGCTTTTCCTTGATCAGTCACCTCGAAATGAACTTCCAAGTCAACATGACCAAATTGATCATGCATAATTTTCTCCACACATATTTCAAAATTCCATTCCGGACTCCCCATTTCCTTAATTATCATGTCACTATTATTACTGAATGTGCTACTACTAATACTAATCTTGAACTATATATTCTGAATTTCTGATACATGTACATTTGTGGCCTTGGCAGGGAGATGTGTGTCTAGCCCCACAGATCCATGCCGCCATCAATCGCTTCCAGATTGATTTGGTATTCACTTCCTCTCTGATATTCTTTGTGCAAATTAAGATTTCTGCTGCTCTCACCCTACATACTCATCAGAAAACCAACAGCAACAAGCTTTCCTTTTCTTGCAGACGAAGTACCCAACCTTGTCGCGACTTCACGATGCCTACATGGAAATTCCGGCATTTCAAGCCGCACTGCCCCAGAATCAGCCAGATGCACCTTCAGCAAAATAATCAAGAAATCAAGCCAGTTACAACTATACGCGTGTAATTTCCACAATAATGAGGAATGTAGTCTGCAATGCATGGAAGAACCTCTCATAAGTCATAACTTGTCAGTTTGTCTGCGTGTACACGACTTTGTCGTCCATCTAGATGCCATGGCGAGCTGCCGGCCGGGCTCCGGTACCATGTAAAATTAGTATTGATCGATTCACTGCCAGTAAGATTCAGCAGAAAAAAGAAAGGTGATTTGATGAATTGACCTGTATTTATAACTGATGTTCTCTCTTGGATTTGTATTTGTTGCTGGATTTTTTTTGTGGGGGATTTATTGCTGATGTTGATTGGGTAAATTCGCTCTGTTTGGCAAGCGGTGCCGTTTCCATTGGACGGCCCCTGTGATTTTTTGAGGCCGGAAAGTGATTTGTGCTTAAATACCATCGATGGATTGATGGTGATCTGCTGTCATTTTCACCGTATTAACAAGTAATCTGTTGGAGAGTAGGATTTTGCAGAAACGAAATGGCCCTGACCTTTTCAGATTAATCAGGGAATCGGCTTGCTTGTTTTTCTCCTGAGGAGTCAAAATGTGAGACTAGTCAGTCCCGATGCGGAAAATACAAAGGAGAACCTGGGTACCAGCGCACCGTATATTCAAAAATATATATTAATAATTCAAAAAGAAGTTCAAAAAATCCCAAAACTTCTTTGGCACCAGACATGATCAAATATTGTAGTCGTATAAAAAGATTCATTAGAGAAAGACTTTTGTTGTATCCTGAGTCGAAGATTCGGCAAAAAATGCTATATACAAGTACTATACTGTTGTCATAGACTTCTCTTTTTTGCCCTGAAGTCAAAATGAATCATTTCTTATCCAAACTTTTTATATGGGTAGAATACCTAATCATGTTTGATTCCCAAAAAAATCTGTATTTAAAAAAAATTGAATTACTAATTTTTTTGACGGACATAGGATGCGCGAGAACCCGAAAGCACCAAGTTCCCGTCCGTTCCGATGCATGTTTGCTTCAGAGAAAGAACTCTCTTCTGGTCGTCATTGGTGGGAGTCGTACAATGAGGTCACGTGTGGACCAAGAGCTGGGCGAAGTGTACACAACACAAAAGATTGTTTGGAACATGACAGTGTGAGTTCATTTGTTTCTTCTAGCACTCCGCTGGTTATATCTGAACCCTCTGCACGCTCCGCGTCTGTGACTCTGTGTGCGACACATCCATCGGAAGAAAAGAGCGACACATGTTGCGCCAACAGATGAAGCTATGAAGAAGAGCGACATTTGACCTTTTTCAGTTGCTTATGTTCTTTTTCGTTTTCTTTTTTCTTTGTGGACTTGCTCACAAAGCACGAGCGCCATATGGCATTTTAAGTACTTTTCTTGTTGCGCCTTTTCAAAACAAAAGTGAATTCAAATGGCTAGCCTTTTTTTAGTGTGGAACCACCCCATCTAGGCCAAAATCTCATCTGACATGGCTGCTCGTATTTTTCTGGATTTTCTTTCATGTATTTTGATGATGTGCGCTCGCTAGAAGACGATCTCCATCGACTACGAGATGCCTGTAACGACTTTGATTAGTACAGACACAAGCATTCATATGTATGCGCATACACTTATCCCTATGAACACACACGCACACCTTATTCCTATGAGCACCTTCGAAAGACTGAGCCGGCATATCATCGTAAAAATTACGAACGCGGGAACGTCTCCTCTCACTGAATGCGCATCGCCGGAAATCCGAAATCCTGAAATAAATTTAAAAATAAATGCGAGCACTAGGATTTGAACCCTGATGGGCTGGGATACCACAATCACTCTAACCATCCAACCACAAGTTGGTTCATAATAATCTTGTATCTATCTCTCTATGTATTTCTTTCTCCCTTTTGTCTTAATATATGACATGCAGTCCCATGATTCAAAAAAAAAAAAAAAACTCTCTCGAAAGTGCTAATAGGGTCACGGACTCATGATACGCTTGTTTGTATTCCCTCCGTTCTAAATTACTCGTCATGGTTTTAGTTCAAACCACGACGAGTAATTTAAAACGGAGGGAGTAGTAGGTTGTACTGTGTATGTATACTTGAGCCCCTGCATTTATACGGCGTTAAAAGAAGCGGAGTGTGATCGATCCATTGTTTGGCAATCGGAGCCTCCAGATTTCCTTGTCGATGTTTTGGCAAACGACGTATCCATATTTGAGCATGAAATATAAAACACCGTGATGGCGTATTACCATAAAAAAAACGTTTCATCAATTCAAAAAAAGAGAAGTGTCCGTGGAGGAATTCAGACGGTGCCTAAATTTCCGCTGCCAGAAAAGCGTAAGCAAACTTTGGTGTGCCCCGCACATAAAAATACGCGGTTTGGCGTCCAAGGCCCCTCAACGACTGCGGCCGTACGCACCCACACGTCACGCGCGCCTGCGCCTGACGCCGACGACCTCAGCCGCCCCCCGCCCCCGCCGTCGATCCCGCGACGGACGCCCCGCCAGGCGCCACGTGGGCCCTCCGCCCCGCAGCAGAGAAGAACCCCGCGCGCTCCCCCGGTGGGCCCGGGTCGAGGCAGCGCAATCACAGCCGGCCAACCTCCCCCTCTCTCCCTCGCTTCTCCCCCACTACTACTTGCCTTCCCCTCCCCGTCTCTCTCCGTCCCCCGTCCCCATTGCCTTCTCCGTTCCCCCCACCCCCCTAC